TTTGATAAGGTTCCACATAAGTGGTCATTAACAAATATAAAAGCGCATGGAATCACAAGTAACCTTGCGATCGGGCTTGGAAATTGGTTTGGGAAGCGGGAAACAGAGAGTAGGGATAGGGAGAACATTCACTGATTGGCAGAACATGACAAGCGGTGTTCCCCAGGGGTCTGTACTGGGACCTCAGCTTTTCACCATATATAAAAATGACTTGGATGAAGGAATAGAGAGTTTTATATCAAAATTTGCAGATGACACAAAGTTAGGAGGCACAGTAAATTGTGTAGATAGGAGCAGGAAGTTACAAAGGGACTAAGATAGATTAAGTGAATGGGCAAAACTGTGGCAGCTGGAATTCAATGTGGGGAAGTGTGAGGTCATCCACTATGGATCCAAAAATAGCAAAACAGAACATTTTCTAAATGGTGAGAAACTAAGAACATGGAAGAGCAATGGGATTTGGATGTCCGCAAATCACTAAACCATGCTCACAGGTACAAAAAGTTGTCAAAAAAGCTAATGGGATGCTGGCCTTTATCTCAAGGGGGCTAATATAATAATAATCCTTGTATTTGATATGGTGCCTTATCACGTCTTCGAGATGTCTCAAAGCGCTTCACAGAATGTACTGTAAAGTGAATTGACTGTATATTTTATGAGCAAAACGTGGCAGCCAATTGTGCACAGCAGTGACCCACAAAGTCGTGGATTGAATGATCAAATTATTATTTCTTTTTTATTTATTTTTATTTTTGAAGGGATTATTACCCCCAAAAAAGCAATAGACTTAACAGCCATTATTACACAGTCCTGCAAGAACGTGTATTTCACCTTAGTCCAACAGAAGACACAAATATAGGGTTAGGGCTCGAATATAAAGGAGATAAAATGATGCTTCAACTATATAGAGCCTTGGCCAGACCCCATCTGGAGTACTGTGTTCAGGTTTGGGCACTGCACCTCAGGAAGGATATATTGGCTCTGGAGGGGGTGCAGCGCAGATTCATCAGAATGATACCAGGGCTTAAAGGGTTAAATTATGAGCACAGGTTGCATAAACTTGGTCTCTATTCTTTGAGTTTAGAAAGTTGAGGGGTGATCTGATTGAGGTTTTTAAAATAAAAAGGGATTCAATAGGGAATAGAGAAACAGTTTCCTCTGATAGGGGAATCCAAAGGGGTTATAATATTTAAATTAGAGCTAGGCCATTTAGGAGTGAAATTAGGAGGCAGTTTTTCACCCAAAGGGTAGTGGAAAGCTGAAACTCTCTTCACTAAAAGGCTGTGGATGCTGGATCCATTCACATTTTCAAGACTGAGGTGGGTAGATATGTGTTACTGAGGGATATGGGGCAAGGGTGGGTAATTAGAGTTAAAGTACAGATCAGCCATGGTATTATAGAATGGCTCGAGGGGGCCGAATGGAACATTTTATGTTTCTATGAATATATATATTATTGCTAAGCCTTGCAAGCAAGAAACATATATTTGTAATCACATTAACACTATATGTTGATGAAATCTTGTTAAGTGACTGTTATGTTGTTGTACTGCTATGTATTTTGCATATCATGGAAAATCATTGAACATTTGTACTGCTGTATCTTAAAGTGAAGTTTTGCTGATGATTGTACTTGTGTAACTGTTTACTTGCTAGAAATGAATAGTGGCTGTATTTTCTTTATCTAATGTCCTTGCTCTGTCTGGTGTAGTTACATGGGAAAAGAAAAGTGCAACAGGTGCCCTGTGTTATGTGAGAAGACAATAAAGTGGTGTGATAATTAAGTGGCCTTGCAGGGTGTTCAAATGAGATGGTGGTTGTTGTTAGGTGAGGAGTAAAAACAAGAGAACGATATGTGTGAGCCAAGCCAAACTATCTTGAAGGTCACAAAAATGTGTTTGTTCATGTGTGTAAATATTAAGCACTAACTAGCTTGAGGTTGGAACAGACTCGGGAAAGAAGATAAGAAAAGAAGATACCACTTACAGAAGCAGAAACTTCTGCAACTACTACTTCTGTTCTGTTTGGATCTGAAGAGCAACTTAAGGCTTTCCTTCAGTGAGTATGGAATCATTTGGTGACTAATCATTACACTACTATTCTGATTTTGTCACCCTTACCAGTGATGTGCTGGGCCTGTGAAATGTGAACGAATATACCTTGGTATCTGCTGGCTGATTAAAATTCTATAAATATCCAATTTCCCTCAGGAAGCCAGCTTATTTTCACAGTCCCTGCAAGAACCACCATCTTGGCGAGGCAGATGGTCATTCCACATAGTTCTTTCTTCTCTAATATGCCAATGCAATTCCCTACTTGAGCAAACACCTCAACCTTTGTAGAGTCCTGTAGAGTAATGGTAAGTGCGCTCGTTTTATTCCTGATTGGTGCGAAACCTGAGGCAAGTTTCCTTACTCCACACTTCTGTTTACCTGGCAGTAAGTAGGAACTCAGCTGTTAGTCGATTGGTGATTATTAACCCTGCTTTCAGGGGTAATAATCACTCCCCCCAATTTAAAAAAAAATGTGGTCACTCAATCCACGACTGTTTGTGGGCCACTGCTGTGTGCAATCGGCTACCGCATTTCGCCCACAAATACACAGTCAATCCACTTTACAATGTATTCTGTGAAGCACTTTGAGACATCTCAAATGATGTGAAAAATGCTGTATCAAATGCAAGGATTATTATTATTGTACATCAATCAAAGTGCACTAACCTGGTGTGTACTATACACCTTTGAATGTTCAAAACATGTGCACTGTAATTTGTTAGAGTATTTAGAGTACATCATTATTCACTACATATAACCAAAGTATATTGGTTACAAAAGCCAGCTTGTACTCAGAAAGTATCAAAACCAGTTCTTGGCACAAATAACAGATCATAATTCTAATTATGAATTACAATTAAAAATGATCGCACATGCAGATCAGAATTGTACCTCTTCTGACATTTTTGCTTAAAAGCTTTTTGCTTATTTATTCTGAAATATAAATCAGCCTGACTCAATTAGTTAGTAGGACTCTAGTGTTTAAATCCCTCCATTCTCTCTAACCTCCTCTCTCCCCACAGCAGTACCCGTTGCCTCCACTCTACTGGGCCTCCTCAGCGTCACCTGAATCCTCCGCTCCACCATCGGTGGCCGTGCCTTCAGCCACTACGCCCTGAAACTTTGGAACTCCCTCCCTCAACCGCTTCGCCTCACCACCTCCTTCCCCATCTTCAGGTCGCGCCTGAAGACCTTCCTTTCGACCGCGCCTATGGTCACATTACCCCTCCCTCGGGCTCCGCCATTGTTAAGTGCTCTGAGACACCGCCCGGCGTGGAGGGCATTATATAAGTGCAAGTTGTTGTTGTAGGACTCCCAGCTTTGAGTCAGAAGGTTGTGGGTTCAACACTCTCCTCAGGAGTTTGAGGTCACAGTCTAGGCTGACACTCCAACACCTTGAAGGGAGAGTGCTGTATTGTCGGAGCTGCTTTCTTTGGATGAGACATTAATTGGAGGTCCCATCTGACTTTTCAGGTGAACATTAAAGATCCTGCAGTGTTATTTGAAAAGAGAAGGGAATTTCTGGCGAACAATCTTCCAAATAAAATTGGTCATTTACTTCATGGCTGTTTGTGGGACATCACTGCATGAAAATTATGCTGCTGTGTTTGCCTACAAAATATAGCCATATTTCACAGTACATAGAAAATAGTCTTGTCCACATAATAAGGCACTATATCAAAGGCAAAAGTTATTATTATGATAAATAAACTATAATTCAAATACGTACTTGCAAAAAATGTAGATATTTACCCATTACTTATTATCACGTCACTTGCTGAACAACCAGTTTAAATAGTGCATTGGCAGCAGAACATGATCTCTTGTCCAGCAATGAAACTGGCCATTAAACAGATAACTAATGAGTTATTCACCAAGCATGTCCTGAAACAAAACCAATCACTTCAAACCGCTGCTTGCTCAGGTGCTGCTGCAGTGTAACTGAGGCCTGATCACATTGCACAATGGCAGGGCCAGAACATCTCATTACATTTAAAGTTAGGATGGTGTAACACTCTCACAATGAAAAGGCTGTATCAAGACAAAAGCAAATGAAACCAAAATAGATCATGGATGAAATCCAACATAAACAACTGTATGAAACAGTAACTTAAGGAACAGTATGAATAGCTATGAATACTTTTATAACATTATTCAATAATTAAATATATGAGACTGAATAAAATTTAAAGGAAACTGGTTAAAATAATAATAATCTTTGCATTTGATATATCAAATCATATCATCTTATCATCTTCTTATCATATCATTGAGATGTCTCAAAGTGCTTCAAAGAATATATTGTAAAGTGGATTGAGGCCAAAGTGTCCCACAAATAGTCATGGATTGAGTGACTTTTTTTTGAGGGATTATAACCCCGGAAAGCAATCCGCCAATCAACTAAGAACTGGGTTCCGATTTACTGCTGGGTAAACAGAGGTGTGTGAAGTAAGGAAACTTGCCTAAGGTTTAGCCTCACCCGGGAATCAAACCTGGGTTCTCTTGTTTGCGAGGCGAGCAAGCTAACCACTACCTACAGGACAAACACAAGGACTGAATGAATTGTATAAAATTGCTACACTTTGTCGCACCTGGCATAGTTAGTGAGAAATGACGCTCAATGCAGACAAAATGAATGATTTAGTTCCGTCATCAAAACATGCTAAATTGTTTAGCAACAACAAAATTGAAATCTTTTCTACAACTAAAAAGTGTGGCAGAAAAGTATAAAGAAAGAACAGTTACTTCCTCTTTGAGGTGAAAATGCATTTAGAAACAATAAAATCCTAACGGTTTTCAAATTGAGCTAAAATTGACAAGAAATAAATTGTGTAAACAAAAATGTTTGTAACTGATAATCATTTCTAGGTTGAGAAAAATCCCTCTTTCCAAAATGAAAATCAATATACTGTAACCGGTATCTCAGACAATTTACAATTGAGTTACCTGCAGCAAATAACAGGACAGCCACAGGTCTGTAGAATCTCCGACGGGTTCCCTGACAGATTGAGATCAAAGCCACGAGGAAAGCAATGAGGATAATGGCTGCTCCACCCAGAAGCAAAGCCACTGTAGCAATTTTCCAATCTGTAACACACAAAAAAGTGGCACCCTGACAATCTGTAAAATACAACAAATAGATTTGTAATCAATAACCTGTACCAAAAAAAATTTAAAACAAGCATTTTCTAAATCATACAAGAAAATTGTACCAATCTACAACAACAAATTACAATTGAATAGCGACTTTCACATCAAGGGGACGTCCCAAGGATACTAATGTGCACTACTCCAGCAATAGTAAAGTCCAAATTCAAAATATGCAACTATAGAACTTCAGCAATCCACTAATCTGTTATTTAGAAAAGAAGAAAACAAATCTTTCAATAGCCCTGGCTCACAATTAACTCGCTTCCCATGTATTATGAGACAGAGTCGAAGATCATCTGCCATATTAGGTAGATTCTATCTTCTCAGCAGATAGGTCTTTGATAAAAACATTCACTATCTGGTTAAGTGATCAGTTAATCGATCAGTCCTCGAGTGAGCTTCGTGATTGAATCCACCAACATACATATGTGTCACGTTCACTAAATTGGACTTTCCTGGAAATATAATATTTCCAATATGATGGATAATGCTGGATTTACCCAGTAAACATGGGCAACTGTGTAATTACAAACCAAGGGAATTTGTTCCAATCACAAAATAATGCGTAGTAAAGAAATGATGCTCAGTGAGCAACTATGGAATATTATGAGAACAATTTATAAGAAACAATTATAAATTATTTCCTTCTACCTACAATAAACGTGATATCCCATCCATATCTATTGAGTGCTGTATTGGATATACAGCAAACACAGTATATTTACATAGATTGTGGACCTAAGGTTGGATGATCAGGAAAATCGTATTTCATATTTCTGACCCAGGGACAGTGCAAATGTCACTCTTCTTTGCCAGGTCATGCCTGGCAAATAATTATACAACAAAATAAATGTAAGTTAAAAGCTGCTCTGTTGGCTAGAATTTAAAATGTAGAAATTGTCACTTTGAAATAAATACCCAGCTGAGAAAAAAATTAACAGGAGAAAACAATCCGAGGGATGTTCTGCCTCCAAGAGGTCAGTTAGTGTTAAACACCAACCAATTGTAATTTCTGTCCTTGTGATAATTAGAGCCGATGAAACATACTGCAGGGTGATAATGTTCACATGGAAGGGATATAAACCCTACAAATGTAACCCATAGTTACATTAAAAAGATAGAAATGTAAAGGGATGAGCTGTGAGCAATGTAAATATTTCAGCATGGGATGTTACATTAGAAATTTCATGTTACAGACAAGAAACATTCGGACTATTACTCCAAATTGACCATTGTTGAAATCAAATTAAGGATTCGAAGGAGAAATACGTTGAAATGGTAGCGTTGAAAGATGTCCAGAGCCATTGCTATTCAAGAGAGCACAAGAAAACAACCAGAGGATATAAACATGAATTATTGAAAAGTAAATGGAGAACAATTACCAGGATAATGTTCTTTACTTAAATGTTTAGAGCAAAGCAATTGAGACACATTTGTTGTTAAATGATAATTAGGTCCTATCATGAGAGTTAATTTACTGGAGCGATGAGATTTGGTGGACCAAATCTGCATTGAACTCTTTCCTTATTCAATATCCTCTATCCACTAAATCCGGCTTAATTGTTATTAATGTCTTAGCGTTAATTTTGTTTCCTTTATATATATTTTTTATGTGTCAAAAGTAATTTATAGCACAGCACAGAATAGAAATGGGTCAAAGTAATTTTGACACATTTCTATTCTGTGCCATGACATACATTTCTGATCTGCAGTAGTCTCTGCTCAGATCACAAGATCACAGGCCTATTTGATCTCATCCTTCCAGAATACCCACTTTAATGTCTTCCCATTATAGTGTCAAGTATCAGGCTGTTTCGCAAATGAGTCCAGTGTCCTGGCCTCAACAATCATTCTTGGTAGCTGACTCCAGTTGCTGATTGTTTCTGGGTACTGATGGAGCATAAAACTGATATTCTCTGTCCAACCAATGGGTAAGAAATTGCACTTGCTGCACAGTGTAACAATCTTGACCATGTGCAGATACTGGGGAGAAAAAATGTGCTATCAGCTGTGATTATCACACACTGCATTGGTCTTCTACTGTATTGATTACACACATTTTTACCTTTTCTATATTGAGCAGCAAGAGCTGGATTTCCCCCAATGCAAGGATAATTATTATTATTATTCTTTTATGATTATTATTATTACCTTGTCTTCAATTCAACTTCACCTCCTGATGAATTTATATGAATATTTCATGTCTTTATAACCACCATTATTGTGGCCTCTCCAAGTGGGCCAGCAAATTGCAAATGTGTTACATATGCGATGTTCTGTGCTGTGTAGTTTGTTTTGCTAGATTTTCAATCTCTGTCTCTTGCTCTCTCCTTTTCCGTTTAAAATCATAAGTGAAGAGCTTCCTCTTCAACCATGCTTTTAGTCACCTCCCCTCTCTCCCTGGCTCAGGGTAAAGCTCCCCACCATTGTTAAGTGCTCTGAGACACTACCTTTCGTGAAGGGTGCTATTTAAATGCCAGTTGTCTGGAATGGATACAAAGCCCACATCCCTGAGATGGCAGGAAGGAGAGTGTTCTGACCTGACACCCTGCCCGCCCTTCTCCACCCTCTCCATTTAATGTTGAGCATCCCTATCATCGCAATAAAGGTTTAGCACAGCAACTGAAAGAATTGTGAAAGGATGGGTGTTTTCATTTGTCATGCATTTTGTTCTGTATGATAAAGGTTGTGTTTTTTTCTGAAGTTACCACAATTAGGAACAAAACACCAGTTACTTAAGTTCAGCCAATCCTACCCTGCAGTGCTGTTTATAAGAACGGCAAATGGAAAAACAGAAAAAAAAGACAATTGGCAGCAGCCAAACATAACTGTAAAAGGAGATCTGTAGCTTTTCAGTTCAACTTGAAAAGTGAACTAAACTAACACAAACGGATGCCAGCTGCTTCCTATGTTTCAATAATGCAGTGGCTTTAATCTAGAAAGAGTGTATTATCCATATTTTATAAGCAGACAGGGCTAACTTGTCAACAGCTGAGTGCTGCAGGTTATTCCGATCTTGCTTCTGGACATGATCGGCAGCTTTTCGGAGCAGAAAGAGTTAAGGGCAATCTCCCAGGAGAAGGCAGAGCAAGACCAGGGCAGCCAACACTGCACTAAAGGCAAAGCCAGCGTTTCCAGCTCCTCATCAGACAGGCATGTCAAGGGGCAGAAAACTCAGGGATCTCGGTTACTCTCGAACCAAAAGCAAGCTTCGAAAATCACAAATCACCTTCATACACAATGTCATTTCACCTCCATTAAAAACCAATAAACGTTGATTTTAAAAATTCATTAAAGCATTCAGGTAAAAAAAATAAAGAATGAAGGAAGTTGAGATTTGTCAGCTGAATCTCTGTGAATAGGATATACTTTGCAAAGAATTCTGAAAGATTTATCATCACAGAAACACAAAATGTAGAACCAAACAAAACCATTCCTACAAATCTAAAATAACATATAGCTGAAGCTCTTTTCTCAGCTTCTGTCAGGGTTAATAGTATAATTGCTTTCTGTTGCCTGAATCTTTTTATTTCTTAAATCAGATTATATATTCCTGTCACTAGTATCCAGCTCTCATTTCGCAGTCTTCTCTGTGCCTGTGTTTCTCTGGCTCCCTTTCTATATCCTGTCACTTGTCTAGATTAGTGATGCTTTCAATCTCATTATCTATATTTCCCGGACTCTTTGTTTGTCTCTGTCTCCCTATGTATTCCTCTCAATTTCTACCTAAGACTATTACTAGTCCATAACTGAACTTCTTATGTGGTCGTACAGTTATTTGCATTAGAATTTAAGGCCAGTATGATTGTTTATCTTCAGATATATGTTGTTCCTGCATGTAGCTATTGTTTCTGTACATTTATGCCAATATTTAACAATTTCATTCTTTAATAATAATATAGCTATCAGTTATTCCCAGGAAAGTTCTTTATATTTATCTTCATATGTTTATTTTCATTTCATCGTGTTTGCATGCATGTTATTTCCCTTACTATATAACACGTTCTATTTATGTTAATTACAACTTACCACTTGTGTGTTGGTGTGTAGCCTTATTAATGTATAACATTCCCCTAACCTAATGTATGAATGCATTTTTGTCAGTATATTTACAGTTTCTATTATGTCTCTGTGTATAAAATTTCACTCGTGTTTCTCTTCCTTTTTATCATTCCCCTGGTGTATTAATGTGCTTATTAATAACCTCACTAGAGGTCTTTCTTTCCGTCCCTTATCTATCTTTCTCCCCACATCTATCATTCTCTGTCTGTCCCTATAACATTCCCTCTGTATATTTTTCCCTCACATTTGCTCCTTTCGAACACTGTCCCCGTTTCTCTCTTTTGTCTGTAGTCTTCTCCCATTACTGCATTACATTCTTGGTTCCATCTCGACCGCCTTTTCTTTACTCACTTTCTGTCCTGCAACATTCCTTTCCAAAACTGCAGTCCCAGTTTTCCCCTCTCTGTCTCAATCACATTCTTCGAGTTTAACTTTCTGTCCCAGTAGCAATGTTCCAGTTTAACTCTCCCTGCCTCAGTAATATTGCCCTAACTAGTTTGATTTTCGATAAAAATAGTCGTTGCATTTGATGTAGCCCCTTATCACGTCATCGAGAAATCTCAAAGCGCTTCCCAAGAATATACTGTAAAGTGGATTGTGTGGATTTTGTTGGGAAAAGCGGCAGCCAGTTTTGCGCAATGTCTCACAGACAGCCATAGGGTGAGAGACCAATTTTATTTGGTCTATTTAATTCTATCTATCTCAAAATTGCAATGATTAGTATTATTAATAACACTGGAATCGAGTTGGGTTCTCGTTTAGTTTCTTTCCTAAAATAGCATTTTAAGTTGATCCCTTCTCTCCTAATAACATTCGCTTTTGCTTGACTGTAACATTGCCTTGATCATGCGAGTCCTGTAGCTCAATGGTTAAGAGCGCTCACATCGCAAGCGAGAGGACCTGGGTTCGATTCCCGGCCGGGCGCAACGTCAGGCAAATTTCCTTACTCCACACGCCTCTGTTCGCTTAAGCCGTCAGTAAGAACCCAATTGTTAAGCGGATTGTCGGATCGCTTTTCCGGGGGGGGGGGAATGGGACGGGACGGGGTCACTGCTGTGCGCAATCGGCTGCCGCCTTTCGCCCGCAAAATATACAGTCGATTCGCTTTCCGGTCTATGCCGCGAAGCGCTTGGAGACGTCTCGGGAGACGCGATAAAAGGCGCTTTATGGAAGTGCAAGGATTATTATTATTTCCCCCTATTCCTCTGCTGTTTGGTGAAGGGGTGGGGAGGGGGGGGTGAGGGTGAGGGTGGGGGGGGGTAGGGGGGGAGCTGCTGCACTTCCTTACCGCTGTCCAGAGTCCAGGTGCAGACCCACGGAGTGCCTGGGCTGGAGGCGGGCCGCACACACGCCTGCCACAGGGACTGGGAGAAGTGAGTGTCCGCGGTGACCCAGGCGGGGCTCAGCACAGCCACCACGTCCAGACACAGCGCCAGGACCGCGCACACCAGCCCGGTCAGCTTCAGCGGAGTCACCGCAGCCACACGGCTCTCCTCCGCCGTGGACATCATCAGCGCTCCCAATCCCCGACCCCCAACTGCTCGCTCCCCAGGAACTGAGCAGCAGCACCGAGTGCTCGGGCTCCGGCTCTGCGTGTGTCTGACCCACACACACACTCACACACACTCACACAGCGGGACCGTGTGAGGCAGCTCCGGGCTGGGACCCCGCATCAACATCAAGGTCTCCTCCCACCCGGTCACCCACTCACAGCCATCACACACTCCGGTCCTAAAGCCCTCAGACAGAAGGCACATCACCAGCTCCTCATCCTGAGGAAATGGGGTGGACTCATGCAACACTTGTCCTCCATCCCCTCTCAAAATGTATCTCTGTTGACCCAGCTTTTGCTCCTCTTGCCTCCCCCCCCCCCCCCCCACCCACAACTTAATAATAATAATAATAATCCTTGCATTTGATAGAGCGCTTTTCACGTCGGGAGGACGTCCCAAAGCGCTTCACAGAACACACTGTAAAGTGAATTGACTGTATATTTGTGGGCGAACGCGGCGGCCAATTGCGCACAGCAATGTCCCACAAACAGTCGTAGATTGAAAATGACCAATTTATTATTGTTTTGGGTTTTTGGAGGGATTATTGGATTATTGGCTCTGGTGGAGTAAGGAAACTTGCCCAAGGTTTCGCCCTGACCTGCCTGGAATTGAACTCAGGTCTCTCACTTGCAAAGCGAGTGCTCTAGCCACTGGGCTACAGAACTCCGACTTGGGTGCCCGACAGGGGCCGGCCCTGGGAACGCTTTTGTTTGGGCTTCGCGTAAATACACACTACGCCATGTAAGTAACCTGGCAGCGAGCCATTAAGATCATCTGGCCCAGGACCTATTTTGGGAAAACCGAAAACTTTGATGAGTTTCAACTTTGGTATCGATCGGGGTGTTGATTTGGGCGAGTGGGAGCTGATGGTGTCCACAGCAGAGGAAAGTCGCGCGGCTGCGGTGACTCCGCTGAAGCTGACTGGGTTGGTTTGTGTGGGTCTGTCGCTGTGTTTGGATGTGGTGGCTCTGCAACCCTATCAGCCCCATCCTCGCCCGACTCCCCTGGCTTCCCATCACACAGAGGATACAGTTCAAGATCCTGGTCCTCACCTTCAAAGCCCTCCATGGTCTTGCTCCCCCTACCTCTGCAACCTCCTCCCTACCATCCTGTTCACTCCCTCTGCTCAGCAGGCTCCGGCCTGCTTCACATCCTCCGCCTCGCTCACCCAACCCTCTGGAACTCCATCTCACAGTCCCTCCGTCTCGCCCCTCCTTCACCACCTTCAAGACCCATTTCAAGACCCTCCTCTTCGACCGTGCTTTCAATCTCCCTGCTTCCCACCCTTGCCCTCCACCTTCCCCCACCCCGACCCTCAACTTGGTTCCGTAACTCTGTCTGGACGTCCAAAGGCGCTGGATAGTCAAGGTTTTGCACTCCAGCTGGAGTTTGGAATCAGGAGGGGTGGCAAGGAGGGTGACTGAAGTAGGGTGACAAAAACATGTACTATTATTTTTACTCTAAAATGTATTAAAATTGTGGCTTTTTGTGAAATGCTGAGTAACAGATTAGTAAATTCATAGATTTTGTTAGATAAACAAGAAAAGAATAAACATGTTTGAATAAGAGTCCATATACTATGGATACAAAAGAACTTTAATGTTTCAAATAGTTTGCCATTGAAAGAAGAAACAATAGGTTCCTATTGAGATACTACCCACTGGATGGTATATGATGGTTTACATAAATAATCATTGCATTTGATAACCTTTCACATCGGGGTTCGGAAACTCAAAGCACTTCACAAGGTGTACTGTAAAGTGTAGTGACTGTGTATTTGCAGGCAAATTCGGCTACCGAGTCAAAGTGGCGCTGTACCATCTTGCATCACAGAGCACACATGTAGTCAGACGGTGGGAACAAAATAAAGAACACAGACAAAGCTAAGCCGCGGCAACAACAACAAAATTAAATTTTTAAAGCGCTTTTCATGTTGGGAGGACCTCCCAGCGATTATAAATTTTATATTTATCATTATAAAGATGCCTAAGCGAAAATCATACCTTTCAAGGATAAGTAATTGCATCTGCTCTTGTTTCAATCTACATTCCATATTGGATCCTTTGGTTGCAAGCTTAGCGGCAATGGGTACAGCTAGTTATGATATAAGATCCTATAATAATCCTTTCATTTGATATAGCGCTTTTCACGTCTTCTAGATATCTCAAAGCGCTTCACAGAATATACTGTAAAGTGAATTGACTGTATATTTGTGGGCGAACGCGGCAGCCAATTGCGCACAGCAGTGTCCCACAAACAGTCGTAGATTGAAAATGACCAATTTATTATTGTTTTGTTTTGGAGGGATTATTAGGCGTGCGGAGTAAGGAAACTTGCCCAAGGTTTCGCCCTGTCTGGAATTGAACTCAGGTCTCTCGCTTGCAAAGCGAGTGCTCTAACCACTGAGCTCACTCTCGTGTTCAAATCCATTCACTCCTTGACACCTCCCTATCTCTCTGACCTCCTCACTCCCCAATCCATTGCTCGTTGCCTCCACTCGACTGGCACCAGCCTTCAGCTTGTCCCTCGCACCCTCTGCCTCACCAGCGGAGTCGCGCTGTCAGCCACTATGCCCCCAGCTCGGAGTCAGGCTCCGCCACTGTTAAGCACTTTGAGACATTACCCTGCGTGGAGGGCAACTTGCTGTTGTTGTTGAAATGGTTCCATGAGCCATATACATGACATCTGCTGCATTATAAACATGTTGGGCTTATTCCCCTGCACGGTGTTCTGTTCACAAGCTCAGCCAAGACTAGAAGGATAAATGAGATTTGTTGGAAAGTAATTACTTCACTATTGGACAACTTCTTGAAAAAAGAAGGAAATTTCTTCCGGTGTGTTGGCCAACCCCCAGCTAATATTGATCATTCATATCATGGCTGTTTGGGTTATTGCTGTGTGCAAATTGCCTGCCATGTTAAATTGCAAATAAGCAATCACTACCAATTTACCAGAATATCCTGTGAATCTCTTTGAGACATTTCAATGATAATAATAAGGCACTATATCAAATGCAATGATTATTATTATATCATGAAGAGATTGCAAAATGCTTTCAAGAAAATGCATTATAAATAGTAATTTATTAATGCTCTACAATTTAATTTAGAATGCCAATGAGATGGATTTAGACCAAGTCAAACAGTTTCATTAATCACTGAAATGTAGATATCTTGTTATTTGAACTGACTATGCAGGATGCTTACTTCATACATCTTTTTGTCTTATGTTTGCTGTACTTTTATCTTCCTATCATATGGGACAATGCTATGTAAATATTCTATTTTTGGACATGTGCCTGCTTTAAGATAAGAGAAGGAAAATAACTCAAGACTTGCTTCCCTGCTTTTCATCCAATATGAAAGATGAGTTCTTGGGATAATAAATTATTGTGTTTTCAGATTGTTTAGAAGTGTTGGGCAAGAACACGTAATGATAATAATCTTTGCATTTGATTTGGGCTTTTCACATCAGGATGATATTTCAAAGCACTTCACAGGATTTACTGTAAAATGTCATTACTGTGTGCTTCATAGGTGAACAACAGCTTATTTGCACACAGCACTGTCCCACAAACAGCCATGAATCGAATAACCAATATTATGCGGGGGATTGTTCATTATGACACCGGGAGAAACTCCCTTCTTTTTCAAGAGTTTGTTAGAGTAGGAGTAACATAATTACTCTAAAAAAGCAAACCTGCAAATTTCAGAATCCCAGGTTTAAGGTTTAGCTTAATTGTAATTTTAAAGCACCTTCTTTTAAAGGTATTTGTTTTAAACCTTTTACCTCAGTGATTTTCGTCTCAGGTCATTTTGATTCCTACTTTTTCAAAAAATAATGTTGCACTCTGCAAAAGCCTGTTTCTCCATGCAGGGTGTTTGACTGCTTTTGTATTTCATTTCATCACCAATACTTGTCCAGGTCAGAAATCACATAGCCTGGTGCAGAATTTATCCTATCCAAATTCTCTCGCAGCGATATTGTTCAAGTACACTACTCCCTCCTGATTAGGAATGGGCAGCTTTACGTTCAGTGTTGAGACTGTCCAAACACACTTCGCATGAGACATATATCTGCCAGACAGAAGACACTTTCATACCATCAATCTGATCATGGAAGTGAAGGAACAACATATAACATATATATATGTATTTACACCATCCAGTTCCTTCCCTGTTTTCAATATTTGGCCATATTTTCCTTTCCATCCGATATTGTAAAAGGTTAATATTTTAGCAAACCGGTTGGTATTTAAATCTTTTACACAATAAATGTATATGCTCAGCCTTGTTGTTTGATAATTTTTCTTAACAATTTTGTACTTGTAGGAGCATAAGATCGTACATGAATGTAAAAGATCATTGCAGTGCTTCTGACTGGTCCTTAAGTAAAGTAGTAAATCATTCTATATCACTGCAGTATATCTCTTATAACCTCTTTTGAATTTCTTGTAAGCAGTTTTCTAATTCCACCTTGAATCTGATGAAACAATCTGCTTCCACCACCTACCTGGGTAGTCTATTTAGTTTAACATTTGCTGTCTCTATTTCTTATATTTTTGTTTGACAGCTGGGTGTCTGACGCATGCGGAAAATCATCATCATATTGAAGAGCAGACTGAGAGTTTGACATTTTTATGCTTTTTTTTAGATGTTACTGACACAATGCTACAGAAATAGAGTCATCCAAGACCTGCAAGGATTCAAGTTAATTTCCTGGACTCCTTTGGTATAGGATTAAGGGGATTAAATCGATTTTTGGGTGGGGTTTAGACGGAAACCCATCACCATGCTTAAGAGTATCCAAACCAAGCTAAGAATTTCATGCATCCCACCTACCAAGGAAATCCCAGATATAGATTGTTGGAATGCGCAATCTCTCTGGGATGCATCCTGCTTACCTAATTCTGGAAAGTATTAGACACAGGATGGCAAGAGCCAAGGCTTGGAGACCCCAGAGTGTGTGTTGGGGTACTGCTAGAGTCTGACCAGCTAAAATCGTGTAGTTTGCCATTGATATTGCAGTCTCTCAGCTTTCCAGATGCTTGTCTAGCTCGGATCACCCTACCCATTAGGGTTTTGGCTTGCACGGTTATCAGGAGCTGAGTGGGATGATTCCCTGCCCCCATTGATTTGTCTGCCCTTTCAAGTCC